CCGGCCTGCTTGGTGCTATGTTTCCACGAAAAATACAAAATCTCATCCTTTAAATCTCCCACGATTTCACCTAAATAAGGATATTTTTCAACACCTTCTACAAGGCACAGAGGGTAATTGGATAAGTCAGAGAGGAGTCCTAATTGATCCTAAAACTTTCTATCAGAAATGCTTGCTAAATGAAGGAAAGAAAAATGAATTTCTTTTTAAAATCTACTTATGTTTTTAGAAGGCTACATATAAGTAACAGTATTCTAAGTAGTTTCAAACAACTTTGAATTTGCATCTTTAGCTAAGAAGGAAAAAAAATCAGGAATGTGCTTACTTTCACATCTTCCCCCTTTTTCCATCTAAAAGAAAGATCTGATAAAAAGGAACACTAACACGACATGGGCATTTAGGGCAATCCTAGGCATCCCAAAATGCAGTTCCGGTTATTCGACATACATCACCTCTTTTTGTATTTATGTGTGTACCTCCAGGCTCTAAGGAGAGTGAGACTGAGGAGATTTAATGCTGAAACCACAGCTCATTCTCAGAGAAATAATCTTCAATTGAGCATTTCAAATCTTTCTTTTTGTTTTTAACGTTGGTTAAAATGGCCATTTTTGGTAGAAAGAAGATAGAAAACAACAGATCTACTTGCAGTGAATGAAAAGGCCAATGTATCAGAAGCTTCTCATTTCTAGTAGGTCTCTCTGGGCTCTAATGTTTATTGGAGCCAGACCAAAGGTCAATATTGCATCCAATGGAATTGGTTATTTTAAATATTAAAACAAGTTCTGAAATATAAACAACATCAAAATGGAATCAGCCATGCCCTGGCCAGGTAGCTGAGTTGGTTAGAGCACCGTCCTGATATGCCAAGGCTGCGGGTTTGACCCCTGGTCACAGCACGTGCAGGAAGCAAGTTATGGATGCATAAGTCAGTGGAACAACAAATCCATGTTTCTCTCTCTACTTCCCCACCTCTCTAAAATTAAATTTAAAAGCTGGAATCAGCCATTTATAAATAAAATTGTCAAGGTATTAAGTTATAAAATTTTAAAACTTCATGGCTTAAAAAAAAAGTGAAATAATCGAAGGCATTTTTATGAGGTCTGGTGTACTACACACAGTAACTCCATAGTATGGAAAAGTGTGCCAAAAGCATAATTTTTGTTGTTGTTGCCAAGACCAAAAGGTGTGTATAACTTTGATTTTAATAAAAACAGAATACGAGTTTAAATTGTACTGTTGTTGCTAGAAACTGAAATCTACCTTCCTTAAGGGTAATAACTTTTAAATATCTTCGACAAGGGTAGTTTGTGATGAAATATTGACATATTCTTTTTGTTGATTCTCTCATTTTAAAATACGGTCTTGAAAATCACATAGATAATCCTCTCAAAATCATTATTTTAGCTGTATTATTTAATTATATGGGCATTATGGGAATGTGAAATCTCTCAAGATTTCTTCCTTGGAGTATTTTTCAAAGTTGAATGCTAACATGCGCATAAGAAGTAGAAAAGTACCTATAGAGAAATTTAGTTTTCTCAAAACTGGACATGTGTGTGGATCACATCACTTTGAAATATTTAAGGACTTTTGTTTAGTTTTTAGGTGAAATATTTTGGAAAGTGGTTATATATTTGGTTATTTAATAGAATTGTTCCTTCCACTTGGAAAGAATGGGATCTCACGTTAGAATATGAGTGATTGCACACCTAAAATCACACTTCTGGGAAAAATATTCTTAGAGAATTTACCTATTGTCCTATTATGTGGCCTCGAGCGATCTAATAAAATAACATGGTAATAACCGTGTATGATGCCAGGTGGGTGATGGAACTATGACAGGGAACACTTTTCAAAATACATGCAATTGCCTGAGCATCGTGCTATACACCTGACACTGATACAAAATAATATTGAATGTGAACTGTTAGCAAAACAATTTTTAAAGTAAAAACATAAAAAATAAATAAAAATTCTGTAAATTAAAAGTGAAGTGTTTTAACTTGGGAATGTAGGGGAAAGGCCTTTGAAAATCTCTGGGCCAGAGCCTTCCAGGCGAAGGAAGTTTCTAATGCAGAGGGGCGGTAACGAAGTTCCCCTTCCCCAACATACTCTTGAATGTGGCGGTTCCAGCTTCACCATCAACACGTTAGGAGCACTAGGCTCTGCATTAACTGTTAAAACTGACACCGTGACATTGGCCTTAGCTAATTTCCCTTTTGTTGTGTTTGGTTATTAACATGAATTTTCCTACCATTTGTATATAGTGAAGTGTTTGACCCCCTCATATTTCTTGGAGGCATGGAGACTACATGATGTTTTTCTGTGTTTACATGCTTCACCTTTGGGGGTGTATGTGAGGGTCCTTATCCCTGATCCATATCCACATATTTTGATAGAAATGCCTAGATAGATGGGCACAGAAACATGAAAAAGGTGATCCAAAGAGGAATAAAACCAACAATCTGCTATAGTGTGTACCTGTAGGGAATACTCTGTCCTCAACATTTATAGAAATAACATGCTATGATCTAGTGATTGTTTTCTAGGTGAATATCACTATATTTAATTCTCCCTGTGACAGATTCCTTTCAGAAAAACTTGTCCATGAGCCATTCCCCTTTCCTGAGAGGTAAGAGTGGGCATTACTAAGGATAATAAATACAATGCAGCTTCACCATCAACACATTAGGAGTAGCCATGGAGAAGCCACAAGGGTTGGAAATAGGAAAAAGAAAGATTAAGATTGCATATTCCCCAGGGGACACCTCTCTGGCTCTTTGGGAAAGGTTAGGACTGCATGATTCTAAAGAATATGAGCAGGTCAAGTGTCTGTGAAGTACGGCAATGATTACAGATAGACCGGGCAATTCTGGACAAGCAAGCCTTCCTGCAAAGGGATGGGCCATAGTTTTATCTATCATGTCATGTTGCTTTTTGAAGTTATGAAGTAATGTTTTTTTCCTCCAAATAAATAAATAAAAAATAATAATTTATGCAACGACCATGAATTTAAATATTCCATGGGGGTAGGATTAAATCAAAGGACCTTTGACAAAACTGAAAATTGGGGGAGCCTCTGAGTGTGTCATTTCAACACTGTGGCAGGCAGGGAGAAAGGTCACAGAAAGCTAGATACTCACCATGTCTTGTTGGCTGGAAAGCAGACACACTCTCTCCCTCAGGAGACTCACCTCTCAGTGGTTGCTCCTTCTCTGCTTTGGGAGGTGATTAACCATGGCCTAATTAAGCACCAATAATAAAATATCTAACTTACAATTGCTTCCCTTTCTTGTGTTATCCTTGTTGGTGAAATACCATCAGGACCACCCAACACTTGAAATATGATGGGTAGAAGGCAATGAATGTCTAGACATGATGAGAACGTAATGCTTAAAAAGAAGGGCAGTAATACAATCCATTAGCAAAAATTCGTAGGTAGATTAGAATGAAAGCCAATGAATCCACTCATAATAGCACTTTTCTTTCGCTGTAAGATAAACATGATTTTGTATGCCTCTTCTACATAATGCACTCTTTTGTCGATTGAAATTATTTTTTACCAATAGCTAGAATGCTTTGACCCAGTGAAGTGAAGTGATTACTACAACAAACGATGAATGCCAGTGGTCGGTCAGGGTGAGATCCAATATTGTACATGGTCAATCATGAACTGGCCAAATGTTCTTGAAGTTATGAAACTATACTTAAGACTTGCTCTGGATGTAACTTCTCAAGATCAGAGACAGAAAACCAGAATCTAAACAGAGACTCTACACTTTGAGCCAGGAAACTGAAAGAAATCTTAAAGGGGCTGATTTACATTCTTAAGAAAGTTTTGTCACTATTAGAGAACAGAGGGCTTTCTTGTCTACCAGAGGAAATCTGTTCTTTTTCTAACTGCATCCACAAAGTTCTCAGACTTATGCAGAGCAAATCAATCTCACTTCGTTTTGACAGGTTAGGATCAGGGGCCCTGGGCTGTGGAATCAACAATGAATCAAGCCCCGTGTGGGCAAGGCAGTGTGGACAGTGAGCTTCGATTAGTCACAAGACCACCAGTGGAAAGGCGCTGCATTAGGGATTCTCATTGTGGATGACAGCCACCTCTCAGAATAGCTGCAGGATTGCTTTGCAGCACATTTTATAATTTTTTTCCTTTGAAAAGCAACAAGAAAGAACTTAGTATGTTTATGTCGTTAATCTCAGAAACCAAAGCTCTATAAAATCGTCACTGGTGGCAGGCTTGAATCAGAATCTTTGAAAGAATTCAAACGAGCTTATAAAAGGTCGAGAGTCATTGGCTGTGGCATTGTGTGGAAGGGTTGTTAAACAGTCAAGGCAACTCTGGTCATTTAATTATTCTTTTTGCCATTTAAAGAAGTAAATGTGGGCTGCTCATTTTATATTAAACCAAAGATTGGGTCCCAGGAAACATTAATTATCGGTCTAAGAAAATGTTTAAATTGTACCTTATTTCCTTCACATAGGAAAGTGCTCCCCGCATGACCATATATGAATATAATGAGGAATCCTGAAAATTCTAAAGACGGTCAGGTGACTAAAGGGTCATTTACATGTACGTGGTGGACAACTAGGGAAAACAGCTAGTTATACACTTCTGATGATCAATTTTATTGGGATTGATTGATTTGATCTAATACTCCAAACGCTAAAAAGTGATCTGTTGTATTACTGTTTTGGGGCTCAAGGTCTTGGAGGCAGAAAGGATGTAGATAAAGTGGTACTAAATGATATAAGAAAACAATTAATGAAATGGTGAAATGCCCAACACTTATCTCAACACTGTCAGACAATATTCTGATACTGTGCTCTCTTGGAACATTAAAAAGGAAATACTGAATAACCAAAGGGTTGACATTTGCAGAAATTGCATACTAGCATGTCTGTTTTCTTTCTTTTGGATGAGGATACCAATTACACAATAATACCTTTTGGGTTTTTATTTAAAACATGAAAACAAAAAATGATGATGACAATGAGAAGGGAGAAAATATTCCATACAGAATATGCTGTATCACTAGTGATTAAGTCAGAAACAATGAGAAACTTTATTTGTCTGTGTCAGTAACGTGTACCATGTATAAGGAACAGCACAATTAGTGCATTTTCCTTTAAAGCTGTGCACAATACACACATAATAGAATAATCAAACAAAATAAAATAATTTTACACAACTATAATTATTAATAAACCCTGAACAACCAGAATCATATTTTCCCTATAACGTAAAAATTTTAAAAGCAAACAAACCCAAAAGATTTGAAATTGAAATTGACCAATGGTAAGAATTTCTCAAAAGTTCCCTGTAACAATTTGCTATGGGATCATTGACATTCCAAATATGGCTAAAAATAAGTGTGAGATCTTTCTAATGTTTAGACAACTCATATCCCTTGACAATAATTACTTGGTGTTTCTAGGCTAGCTTTCCATTTAGTAAATCTTCCAAAAAGCGGGGGGCTAGAATGTACCCCCAAAGGAGTCAGGTCACCAGTGTGTTGGGCCATGACAGGTCAGAGGTGAGTCTCCAGGAGATAACAATTGTAGAGGGTGGGGCATAGAAAAGTACTGTTGTCAAACCAAGATACAAACTGGGATTAACTGGGCCTCCTCAGTGGTACGGAATACCAACACGATTGCCTTTCTTGGTTTCAGATGAGGAGATGCATGTATCTGCAAGATTGGCCAAGGACACCTAGGATACTTTTCCTAATCTACGCTTTCTACTCTTGGTTCAGGAAAGATCTTGTGTATCTTTTCTGAACAATTGTATTTGCACAGTTTCAATGTGTTTATTTTTAAAGTTTCATCATTGTGTTTTTCCTTGCAAGATAAATCTGTTCCCACGTGGCTGGGTTAACTTTGACTCATAGAAAGAGCAATCAGATTAACGGTGGGCCCCCTGAGGGCAGGGATCTGGGCTTTTCCCTTCATGGTTTAGTCCCCAGGAGGTAGCATAGTACTTGGCATACTGAGCGGGTAACCAGCATTTAATTATTCATCCAGTCACCAGATATTTATATTAAATGATGAGTGATCATAATCACCAAGTGGAAATAGAGAAAATAGCTCTCAACAGTTTCTATTTCTTATGTATCTTTGAATCAATACAGAAGGTTAGGGGTGTCTCCAGCCTGGGAATCTTTATAGAGAGGTCTCTGAGAGGGGACCAGTGACATTCCATTTCTCTCATCAGTGAACTCACTACTTTGGAAGGTGGGTTCATCCATGCTCTTTGGTATTTTGAAATAGAAAGAGCCGTTCCCTTTCCAGGGTTACAAATCCCTGGCCTCCTGGGAGGCCCGCATCTCCTTTAAATGCTTATCCCTCAGTCGTAAGTAGAGAAGACTCCCTTGTAAAGACCCTTTGGTCAGCCTGGCTTCTTTCCTACTCAGGAACTGCAGATACAATCAAAGGGGTCTGGACTGGGAAAGAAACAGGGCTCAAAATAGCCTTCGACATAAAAAATAAAATGAACAAACCAGCACTATCTACCATCTGTGCCAGACAGAGCAGATGTGAAATAAATACTTCGGGGGGGGGGGGGTGCTGTGAAAACAGGCTCTCGAAGCCTAGGCTCGTCTAACGCATCCACGTCTCTGTACCTCTCTCCTCGGCCCTCCCGAATCAGCAGGTGGTTTTTAGAGGCCTCTGGTGTGTTCCACATGGCTAATTCTCCATGGAGATACTCTGTAGTTTGCCTGCTGTCCTCGCCATAGCTTTCACTTCCCACGTGACAGTTATTGCTTCTTAGAAATGAATGTGCAGCTCCATGAACAACAAGAAGCCATCTTCTCCTTTAATCCCTAGTCATAAGCTCAATAACAACACAAAAGTTTCAGCTCAGGTGAAAAGAAAACTCCCTTATGTCTTCCATGTCCAATTAACGTTGCTGGATGGGAGAACAGTGTATGCTATACTCTACTATATACAGGTAACGCTTTGTTTTGTTTTATTTGTTTTTCGTCCATGCACTGGGTAACAAGTATCATGACAACATTCCCAAACAAGCACATGAAGAAGGAGCAAATGTTCAGTCGTGACTGGAACAGGATTGTGCAAGCCATGGATGCTTTGGAAAATAAAACCAACAGATGATCCCAGGCGACAGCAACAGGGGACTGGGACACGGATTGATGCAAATGGAAAAGGATGAAAATGCTTTTTGAATGGAGTTACTCTTTCTGTTTGCATGAAGAGTGGTGGGTAGCAGGAGGCGGTGGGGTGGGGGACCTGGGGAGTTAGCTGGGCTGGAACACCAGAATAAGGGCCTTGCTAACCACAATCCAGAGCTAAAGAGAGAAGAAATAGAGGATTTTGTGCGTTCCTGGGAATCTGGGCATGTTACTCTTGGACCTGTTGAACAAGAGTGCCAGGCATCAGAGCGTTAAATATCAGCTGTATCGGGAACCATCACTTTTCCTGGCTCCAGTCCGGCTCCCACGCTTCTTCTTGGAGGCAGCTTCACCTCTGCTCACATTCCAGAGCTAAGCTTGGAGTTAGGAACATGGTGAAAACGTGCTTCCTGCTTCTTCTGTGCCCACAGCCTTGCTTAGTCCAAAATAACTTGTAAAGTGTTTGGGGGAAGGGAAAATAATCTGAATGACTTAAACTTATACCAAAAATCCACTTGCATTTAGCTTGGTCATCACCTCCCACGAGAGAAGCGAGAACCCTGATCTTCCCAACAAAAAAAACGAAAATGAAACAAAATAAAAGGCAAACATCAACTACCTCCCAACCCCCACTGAAAACAAGCCAAAACAGAAAACAAATCAAAGACTGGACGATGTATGAACCTGGAGAGAACACAGCCCTTCTAGGCCGAACCGCAAAGATGGCCCTGCCTCCACGCCTTGTTCAATGTGACGACGCCCCTGGGGATGGGAGGTGATGGTTTCTCACTTCAGCCCTAGTAAGTATGCTCTTGAAGCTGGATTCCATCAGCAGGTAAGAGAACATGACAAATGTCAGTTTCCTCTGTTCATTGTACATATTTTTTTTATGTATATATGTATATATATATAAATTTACTGTATCTGATTGTTCCTTTAGAAGCCTTTTATGTGGCAGTAGGCCTCCAAGGAGGAGAAGAAAATGTACAAGAGCCACAGGAGCACAAAGAGGGAGGATGTGAGGAGCTTGGCAGTCCGGGGCCCACCCAGCTCACCTCCGATTTCTGGCCTCCGCCGATATAGCAGCACCCCCACATTGATGAAAGCAAAAATGGTGAAGAGAGTGACAGAGAAAGCTAGTGTGCCAGGGGACACTTTGAACTGTTCCCCGTTGGCCGCGTGGTAGATGGCAGCGATGGACCAGGCCACACCGATTCCCAGGAAGACATTCACCGCGTTGCTGCCAGTGACGTTACCGATGGATGCGTCTGCGTACTGGTCCTGGGTGGCTGCCACTTTGCTTGCAAAAGTGTCTGCGGAGGAAGAACAAAAAGGCAGTGCCACGGATTAGCCTTTGAAAGATACCTGTGGAGCGGGGGAAGCTGCAGCTGAGCACTCCAGAATCCAACCTGGGTGGGGACCCTGTGACCACACAGGGTGTGCCGGTCACTGGAGGCCCCGTGGGGTGGGCAGAGCAACAGAACCCAGATGTCAGGACTCGAGGACTCAGGGTTGCAGGTGGTCTTGGTCAAGTTTTTTTACCCACAGGTACCCCGGTTCTTTGTAACACTGAACTTACAGGGCAGCATTTTTCCGAGTGATCATGGCTCATCTACACGGGAACCTGTGGGCTCCTTCTTAAGAGTGAATGTTACGAGGCTCAGGAATCCGGCTTGACAACATGCCAAAGGATTCTAGGTGGTCACTAAAGTTAAACTCCGGCTACGGGGGGATATTACTAAAAGATGCTGCATCATCAGTTCTAGTTTATAGATAAAAAAGTTACGGGGTCAGGGGATATTTGCAAGGTTCAAGAGCAAGTCAATAGCATTGAAACTAAGCGCGTGACAGGAATAGCTGGCATTCGCCCAGAGCCTTGTGAACGGGAAAGCACAGGCTAGCCCACATTACTGCATTGGTTGTGATATTCTGTGAGGGGAGGAACCTTTTCAGGTGATGACACCAGGCTTGAGATGATAAGTAAGGGGTGCAACATGGCACAGCGAGAAAGCAGCCACATCAGGGCTTGGGCTCGGGCCTCCTGCCTTCAAGGCAAATGCTTGTTCCTTGTGCCACCTTACCTTCCACTGTGCCATGGGTACCAACGACCATCCTCAAGTTCTCTGTTCACTAATGGTCCTGCACGCATCTCTTTCTGAGCCTGGGAGAGTCGCGGTGCGCACAGGGAGTAGGGCGGCAGTGACCCCACTTCTCCAAGCGGAGAGCACAGGCGCAGGGCCCCTGTGCGCCAGGCGGTCTCAAACCCGCCTTCGCAAGTGAATGTGTGACCCCGGCAGATTACTTAACTTCAATCAGTCTCGATTTCCTAGCCTGTAAAATGGGGATAGTGCCACTCACTTCAGAGAGCTATTGTCAACATAAAATATGTAAGATGTGTGTTTCTTGGTGCAAAGCAAGAGTAGCTGTGTTTGTGGTTTTGGAAGGTACTGTGAATAGAGCCAGCTAGATCAGTTTATTAAAAGTTGAGGATCTGAACTATCTCGCCTTAGTAACCATGTAAACAGAACCTCCAAGATGCTCAATTTCTTCTCTATACAATTATCTACTTACTGATCTCAAAGTCCTGGCTGCCTCCGCAAAATACCTCACACAGTACTTTTATAGTAGATGTGAATCACTATCAAATTGAACTCAGATTTGCAAAGTTAGTAATGGCAGGTGTGATATTGCTACAGGTGTCGTGTCATGTGCTCTGGCCCCCTTGAGATCCCTGGGGTGCTCTGAGCATGCTTGTAGTTGTATGATATCTGGGCTACTTTCTCCCCTCGGTGGTATTCTGTTGCTACCATCCTTCCGTAAATCTCCAATGGGAACGACACATGGAGCATCTAAGTTTATATCAGCCTGCAGCCTGTAGGTCCCTGTGCTTTACAGTGAGCCGGGAGGCCGTTCAGGCTTCCAGAGGCTGAACCCGCGGTATGACCCTCTCTCCGAAAGGGAACCGGTTCACCTTGAGGGCCCACCTCACCGACTCTGATCGCTGTCTGTGATGGAAACCAGGTTTTAGTTGCTATTGTACAAAGAGGCAAACTCTGCTTTCTCTGTGCTGTACACATGCTCCATGTATAACCTCATTCAGCCCTCTTAGCCTTATGGAGCAGACATTATTCCTTTACAATTTGGGACATGCTGTTGGACTGAGAACAAGGGTTCTGAAGCCAAATCTGTTAGATTTCAGAGCACATTCTCAGTCTACACCCCACGGCCCCTCCCGGGAGGCTCCTCCTTTCCTCTTGGTTCAGGTCACTCAGGAACTTTGCAGCGGGTTCTCGCACACCACGCTCTCCTGTCAGGGGCCAAGGCTGGAGAGGGTGTAGGCAGGCTGCTAACCCCTCCAGCTGGGCGCTGCTGGTGCGCCCAGATCCCACACTGCAGCCCAGTCGGACTCGCAGGGGCCGGAGAGTGAAAGCCAAGCAGGACTAATCTTCATGGTCTTCCACACGGCATTATGAAGAGTTACGAGGAGCTGCTGCAGATGAACTTGGTTTGCTTTCCTTTTTCAAGGACAGGCTGCTGAGCAAGGAAAGTAAAGAACAGAGGCCGAGGCAGGAGAAAGCCGCCTACAGCTGAGCTGCTGCCGAGGACACCTGAGACGTGCTTTGGTGCCCATCTGACTGCTGCACCCCCTGGTGGTGAACAGCTGGCCACCGTGGGCGGGGTGTCGGTGGGGGCACTGCCCCCCCACGCTGCTCACCTCCCCCTGGCCCGTGGTGCATGGCACACTGGACTTTCTGGGTGCCCCTCTCCACGCAGAAACCCCAGCGTCCTGGGTGGCACTCTGCCACAGTGCCGGAAGGGAATGAGGTGTAAAATCAGATTCCAGGGTCCTCTGAACACCTACACCAGTCATTTTGCCTCAAATGGAGGACACGCTTGGGCCTGTTGGGATTTTCCCTCCCTCAAGCCATTTTCAATAGCTTATTGTGAACATCCCAAGGGAATTCTTGTAAGAATACTTTCCTGTTTGCAAATGCCTTTCTCTGGATTCCCTAAACATTAGTGGCCAAAGCGACTAGCTTGTCATGTAAATAAAACACATTTGGGGCGTCTTTGAGTCTGGCTGGTTTTATTTACCTGGGTCTTTTGTTTGTTTTCAGTTCAAACTCCATGAAAAAAAAAATGTGGAAACACATGCAAATCCAAACCATTAACCTTAGCCCCACCAGAGACGACTCCATTTTCCAAATGAAATGTGATGGGATCTCTGAAAATCACCTTCTGTAGCTGCTTTGCTGTTTAATGCATAGAGCAACCCATCACATGCCCTATTCTGGGCACTGTCGAGCCCGACCCTGAATGCTACGCCCACAACCTGCTTATGGCTGCACAAGGCCAAAGCCGTTCAAATGCCATTCCCCAAAGTAAACCCACAAAAGAACTACTGCCACGGTTGCAATCATATTCAGAACTTAGCCTATTAAATACAAACATGGATAAATGAGATTTCCACTGTGATTGGCACAAACTAAGTCATATGACTGTGTATATATATATATGTATGTGTGTGTGTATCTCCCTACAAGTATGCTTCAGGCCAGATTTCTAATAGAATTTTCTTCTTTTAACTGCCACCTTGAATTCTAATAATTTTTAGATTACTCGTAGAGTCCTGCCTCCTCACCCATGACTGTAAATCAATAACAGGGAAGATCTGTTTGGAGGCAGTGTGGCTGGAATTGAAGAACACATCACAGAGTCAGGACATAACTGCTCTCTGTAGACCTCTCCTGAGTTCACCATCTGCAACCTTGGCCAAGGCATCCTGTTGGTATACAGGAATAGGTCGACACACTTCCCTTCCCTGCAGAAATTGTTTTTTTTTTTTTACCTGAATTCCTCAAACCTGATAGGTACATAAAGATGAAGCCTTAAACACGTCTTCTGTAAGAACAGTCCTGCAGGTGGCACATTTATGGATTGTCTAGAGCAAGGGTTTCACCGCAGACGATGTGTCTTATTCTTGACTCTTAGCATACTTTGGGGGCTGGCCATTAACTCTCAAGTGATTTGTGCTCAGGAACTGACTCCGACAGGGATTTAACTGAAGCGCAGCCTGAGGGGGCATGCTTACATCCCTCCAGCATCTGTGAGTACTGACCACGTACGGGATGGAGCACAGGGTGCAGGCTTCGTGGCGCAGTGAGAGAAGCCACGTCAAGGAGACACCTTGGGCCCCGCTAACGATCTGTATGTTCTTGGGCCTGACTCTTCACTTGTCGAGGTTCTGGTTTCAGCAGCTAGTATTTAGACTAGAACATCGCTAAGACTCCCCATAACTGTACGGGTTGGGGGCTGCACAGGATACAGCAAAAGATTCAATCCACAGATATGATTCGGTGTGCTTTTCCTTTTTTTGTAGGGGTTTGTCTGTGATCACCTTGCTTCATCAGAATCGACTAATAATAAACAGTATCTTCTCCTTTTAAAGAATGACCTAAATGGCCCTGGCCGGTTTGGCTCAGCGGTTAGAGCGTAGGCCTGTGGTCCTGAGGGACCCGGGTTCGATTCTCGCTAAGGGCACGTATCTCAGTTGCAGTTTGTCCCTGGCCCTGGTCGGTCGTGTGGGTGGCAGCCACTCGATGTGTCCCTTTCACATCGATGTTTCTCTCTCTCTCTGTTCCTCTCTCTCCCTCCCACTCTACCTGAACAAAAAATGGAAAAAAAAATGTCCTTGGGTGAGGATAAAAAAAAAAAAAAAAGAATGACCTAAATGAAATATTTGAAGAATCGAGAAAGAAAGGTAGGTCTCCAGTCCTGAAGCTATTGTCATTGATCAAATTATGGCAAAAAAAAAAAAAGAGAGAGAGAGAGAGATTAAACCACACAGCACAGAGTCATTTAACTTCTAAAAATAGATGCAAAGTGTTGGCAAAATTATTTACTTCGAATCATATTGGCCATACTGGCCAGCCATCCACTTTCATGAGAGAAAACATGGAATGAATGGGAGCAGCGATGGCTGCGTTTCAAACACTGTGTGTCAGTCAAGTTGGCACATCACTGGCACCAGAAATACTGGGAGAACCTAGCTAAAAAATGATGATTTGGGGCTCCACCCTCAACCCACTTAATCAGACTCCCTGAGGAAAGAGACACAGAAACGTGCATTTTAACAAGAGTCTTAGGGTATTTTGTACACCAAAGTTTGAGACCCAAAGCTCTAAGACATGGAAATAGATGCTCTTGCTCCAAGTGCCCACAGTTCGGGGGCCTTGCTGGGATGAAGAGGGCCTTCAGTTCTAGGGAGGCAGCTGATTGGGGGAGGTAAGGAGCAGCTGATTCTCTGGGAGAC